TCTCTCTCTCTCTCTCTCTCTCTCTCTCTCTCTCTCTCTCTCTCTCTCTCTCTCTCTCTCTCTCTCTCTCTGCGTGTATGTGTGTGTATGTAATTGCGCGCGTGTTTAGAAGCAAAATATAGAAGTATATCTTTGCAAAATAATATTTAAGAATTTACATTACAAGAACTATTAATTAGGTTAAATAAATGCAAATAACTTCGACGATGCTGGTTCCAAGCCCAGATGAGAAAGGAGAAGGGGGAAGTGTAAATATATACTACTTCGTAAATAAAAGGTTCACCTGATCCAGATGATAGCACTCTGTAAGGGTCATGATCTAGGGAACAGGCAGAATAGTCTAGAAAGTAATGAATGACGTAAACTGATTTCAATTAGCGGAAGCAAAAGAACCGATTCAATGGGAACAACTGATATCAATAGTCCAGTAAGATAGCCAATTTAAGGGAAGGAAATTTTGAAATAAAATTACCCGATCCTCCAGGCTGGAGATTGAGACGTCAGACTAGCAATCTGTCTCTTCAAAAAAACAACAAACAAAAAACAACAAACACAGAGCCTAGGAATAGCCTCAGATGTAAGGATGGACGTAGACGGAGACGACTAGCATTGTACAACGTCGAAGGATGTTTTAAAAGCGAATTATATATATAAATGCCAAAAATTTCAATATTAAAATATTAAATGAATAAAGATAGCATTGAATTGCACAATCAACAATAATCAATAAAAAGCTCGCAGAAAATTTTAAAGTAATAGTTATCAATGCTGATTGAATTCGAAAGAAGAAATGATACAATTGTACATGAATTAAATTATTACATTGACATTATTTATGCGATTTCATTAAAGTTTCATCTTAAGATTATCCTAATAATGTGTGATACACTACCTGACGAACTGATCAAATTTTGTTTGTATTGCAATTTCGTCTTCATCTTGAGGTTTACATAAACCCTTCAACAATACTTGTATCAAGCTAATGATAGCATTGCGACGTATTACAACGACAGTTGCTTTACATACCATAGCAACAAAACTCACGAACCATATAGAATTAGCAACGAAATCATCGATATTGTTGACAACAAATAGAAAATCCAGGAATTGAGTTAACATCGTAAAGTATTCCAAGAGTAATATAATATAATTAAATACATTATACAGAAAATTGACACCCTTTGATGACCATTCGATCGGTCGCCATATACCACAAATGGTATACATAAAAAAATTTAAAGAAAACATTTGCATATTTGAAATTCCTTCTTTAAGTTCCAATTTTTTATCAGTTTTATTTAAGAGATCCTCCTTTTTGCATGTAAAAAAAAATAAATTTGCATCAAAAAATTAGCTTTAAAATATTGCGAAAAAATGTCTTTTCTTAAATATTCTTA